CAGCAGCCGTAGCGGCGATGAGGGGGGGGCGGAGAAGGAGGAGCAGGAGGAAGCGAGCAAAAGGGGGCCCCTTCGTCGGAGGCTACCGTGAGAACGAGGCGAGGCATCGCGTCCCACACGGGCCCTTCAGCCGGCACGGGGCCCGACAGAGACCGCAACAGTCCGGACCCCCGAGCGCTGGGGCCCGCTGCCCGGGCCCGTGCTCGCGACAGAGACAACGACAGGCGCGAGCCTCACACGCGACTCGCACACGTCCGAGCCGCCCGAGCCGTGAACACAAACCGCGTTTTTTTCATCCTCGGCGCTACCTCCCTCTTCCTCCTCCTCATCTTCCTCCTCTTCCTCCTCCTCGTCCTCCTCCACCGCCTCCTCCTCCTCCTCTTCTTGCTGCCGTTACCGCCGCGCTCTGCCACCAGCCTCCTTCTCGTATTTCCGTCCTTTTTTCTGCGTGCTCCGGCCGCTACCGCGACGGGCCCCGCTCGCGGTGACTTCGCGCTTTTTTCCCCTGTTTTTCATTATGATACGTTCGCGACTTTTTAACACGTTGCCGTCTTCTAGGCGACGATTATATGCATGTAGGCATTGATACCCTTGTACATATTGGGAAATATAAGAAAGCGAGATGTCTAAAGATTTTCGTGAATAATGGATCGCGATTTATTATAGAGCAGAAGCATGTTGTATGAAATAGCATTATGAGAGAAAGAGGAGAACAAATATTACGACTTGTTTAAAATTGACATTCAGAGGTGTTCTAGAAAACTAACTGTATCTGAATAAAAGACAAAAATTGTAGCAATTTAATGAAAGTCGATTAGAGCAATAGGACTGTATAGGTTTCTCGTTGCTAAAATTGTACGACAAATATGTAAATTCCCAAACAGCATTTGGCACATTTTCTCTCTTTCTTGGCCGACTTTCGCTTCGTTGTTCTCTCGACACTTCTTAGCCAGCCAAATATCTTGTTCTCTACGTAATGTACGGCTTTCACAACGACTTTGCCCAGCTGAGGATTCATTCTTGGCTATTACAAACGTGCCCGCGCGTTCTCGAGCGTTCACACTTGTTGCGCACTTTCTCCAGACGCCACTCGTCCTCTCGTCCATTCCCTCGCCCTTTTCGCCGTCTTGACGCTTTATCGGGCCCCAATTTCTGGCTGCGGGCCGGTGCGAGAAAGGGTGCCGACGCCACAGTTCGTGCCGCGAAGTATCATGCGGGGTCTTGGCCTCGCCAATCAACCGCAATAAACTTAAAAAAAGGGGGGCAAACCGAGCTACCTCTTTTTACGTGCACGCGAAGAAGACTGCGGCCGCGGAGATCGGCGATCGTAAACGGCGAGAGGGTGCACCACAATTTTACACCACGTGCGTGGGAAATGAACGTGCTGAGAAACGCGCGGCGGAGGCATCAAGGAAGCTGATTTCGCCGGGCAGCGGAGTAATCACTCGTAATTTTGTAAGGACGAGGAGTATCTTGGGAAAGAAATTTGTATCTGCCCGATTTTTAAAAGCAATAATTATTGCGTGCAGGCGAAGGCTTTTGATCCTTTCCAAGGCTTTGAAAATGTTGCATCCAGAGGAAAGCGACTCAGAGAGTCTGAGTTTGTATGGGAATTACCTTCCATGTACACAAAGTACACTAAATTCTTCACGAATTCCTTTTTAGCTAATATTATTAATATTATTGTATTCAATAAAACTACAATCGTAAGTCTTAGATAACGCGGGAAGCTCGGCCTCGGAGAATAGATTAATCTATCAGTTGAGATATACCGCATATCTTTCAAGGAAGCTCGTCGGTATTCGGTGCGGAAGTTTTTATTTATTCTTCCTCATCGATCATCGCGCCCTGTGTTCGCCGCACGAGTCTCACAGTTCTCGTGTGTCTGTCGGTCTACCGAGCAAGGGGGGCGGAGAGGGGAGTGGAAGAAAGAGTGAGCCGTTCACCGCTTGAAATACCAGGAAGGAAAACAATAATTAGTTGATGTCACCCGACGTTGAAACCGCCCGTGCAATATCGTTCGCGTCGTTATCAGACCGCTTGTTATCGCTTGTGCCGTATCACGGCCCGCTACGCGAAGCGTGCGAATGTTTACGACTCGTGTCGGATTTTAATACGTCGGTTGGCGCGTCAATGAAAGCACGCCGAAGAATCGGGCGCGTCTGCACGTCTCGTGAATGACAGCACCGGATACAATCCGTACACACGAACTGTCGCTGCGTAAAAGGAGTGATAGATCGTGCGATTATACGCCTTAGAACACAATGATATAACGATGAAATATAGTTGAATAAACTTTCAGGAGCGTTGATTTTTATTGACTTTAACAATTTTTACAATCAAATTAACGATTTATATTCGACTGGTATATAAGAGCAAAAAGTATACAATATTCTTGAAAAACGTTTGTTTAGAAGCTACTACTGCTGAAGCCAAGTGATCTACTGTGTGTGAGTTAATTAAATTCACACACTCTCAGAAAAGAATTCTAGATACAATACTATTAGGATCGAAATAAGGCCAATCATATTTAGTATTAAAAGAAGAATATTTTAATCTTAAATAGAGGAATTCTTGAATCTAGAATAATTCTGAGAAAATTAGAGGGATAGCATCAAGATTATTTTATTCTAGATTTAAGAATATCTCTATTTAAGATTAAAATATTCTTTTTTCTAGAAGTCTAATTTAAGAATTCCTTTATTTAAGATTAAAATATTCTTCTTTCAATACTAAATATGATTGGCCCTATTTCGATCCTAATAGTATTGTATCTAGAATTCTTTTCTGAGAGTGCACACTTAAATTAATCGTGAAATACCGAAAGAAATAAAATATATGTTATTTATCGTGGCACTTGGTCTTTTTGGTATTTTCATCCTTCAATTTTAGTGCAGCACATGGCTTTGGAAATTTTCACGCGCACACCTCGATGCGTGAAGTACTAGTCTATCTATAACGGCGCTAGAAGATTCTGAGAGAAGACTCGCCGTCTTACGACCAATCACCCTAATGTAGCTCGGAGATCACGACGGTCATCTCTATAAAAATTCCACGTTGACATGAGCGACGAGGCAGTTCCAGAAGGCAACGCCAAGTGCAAATGCAGTCGGCGTGTCTGCAGTTCCTTCAGCATCTGGCAGCTCCAGCACACAGAGATAATCTTAATGAGTTTCGGCTTATCATCTCGAGTGAGGCAGCCGAAATCCCGCGGACGTGACGCGCCTCTTGAAGCCTCCACAATGGTGTCTTTTCAGCGCTGTCAGCGAAGTGGAGCGTCACGCGGCACGAAACGCGATCGACGCTCATCGACGAGATATCACTCGTAATTACTGATTACCAAGTGTCGCAAATACACCGAAGTATTATAGCACAAGCGGCGGTTTTAAATAATTTATCTTGCGTGCCTGGAACTTGTTCTTTAAAAGTCAATCGTTCCTTTAAAAATGATCCTCCCCCCCCCTCCCCCGATCGGTGCATCTTCTTCTATTTCCGTCTTACGATTTCTATTTTAACGTTTAAATTTGCCACAATTAGTTGGTACGGACTAAATTCCAGTTCTTTCCCTGTTTGCGATACGTTCCGATTAAGAGCGGCATTTTTGCGCGAGAAAACGAGAAGACCAGCTGTCTTCGTAGCCGCATTAAGACAAGGTCGATGCTAATGAAGAGATAATCGCCTGCGGGCTACTTTACAATTTAGGTATACGATAATTTTAGAGTTGCGAGATGCGATTACGGCTGACCGCTCATTTGGATTCACGTTATCATCGCAATTACAGGGGCGACATATTACTCCTTGTACGACATTTTTGCCGCATATACGATGTTTACGACTCGGTTCGTGCACTATATTAATTAGCGGTCGACGTGATTGTCAAAAAAAGCTCTTACTGCCAACGTAAACGATTCGCCGGCAAAGCGGATGCGATAGCTGAGAGAACGATCGAGATGCCGTAATTATGGCTCGAGCTTGAGGTTTTATGAAATTGCCCCGATCTCACGTTCAGAAAATATTTAATATACGATTATACAAGAACTCGCGAAATTATGCGCGTGATTACAAGATGCGCTACGCGATCGCGGTCTTCTTGTCTCTCTACCATTTCCCTATAATCGCTAATCCCTAATTACAACCCGTTCGTCGCGTTTTCCCCCTTTATATCGCTGGCTCCAAGAAAGGATATCAAGTTTTGTCTAGAAACATCTCTAATTTGCAGTACGCAAGCTTTTCAGTATCTAACCGAAGGGGAAAAACATTGGCGAACGTAACACGATCGCGTTCTACAGAAGCGCCAAACGTGCCATGGCGGTTTCCGCCTCATTATCGACGGATATGTGGTAATGGCATTCTGATTGAACGTTGCTTGCTTTCACTGAACGCGATGGCTCGTGTTACGACTGGGCGCATTGCGAACTCGGCACGATCGCTATATTTTGCAAACAAATTCGACGCGAGCGTGCGCGCCCACGGACGCGCGTGTAAAATTGGTAATCCAATCCCATTCGCCACGCAGGGCATTAATTATCGTATAGGTGTATGACGTAGCTTTAAACAGTAACCGCTAACCGCCATCGCGCTATACTAGTTGACGAACAAACAAAATCAGAATTAAAGTCTACGTTGGCAATTAACAATCGTCAAAAGAAAATACTTCTCTTATTATTTTGATTTTTATTATAATTTATTTATCACATAAAATATCGCGAAGTATGAAAAAGATTGTCTGAGATTTTGATATACGATGGATTTCGCGCGATTGTCGTGAGAAAGTTTAATTGAACTTGATTTGGCAATGTCGTTCAAGTATATATTGACTAAAAATTATTCTCTCGTGTACAGCCCCCCTCGTGTTTTTGTCAGCTCATCGATACGCACGGTTGCACGCGCGCGCTCGTGTGGGTACAACACAACGAAGCATTTGGAGCGGCCTTCCTATCCAAAGTAGCTTCTCCGGAGGGTTCGTAGTCGGGTGAGGGTAGCCTGTGCCGGAATGGCAGCGGAGAGCATCGAGTCAGTTGGTGTAGAGACCTCACCAAGTGCACCCGCTTTGCGTGTCTAATGTCAGCCCGTCCCGACCTGTCAATCCGCTCGACGTGTCGTCGGTATACACGCGTCATCCGATATTTTATCCATTTACATTTCGACACGGGAGATGTAAAATGTCGCGGCGAGACGCCGTGAGGCAAATCCGGCTCGTGATATGATCGGGCTGTTTGGCAAAAGTCTCCCGATACCACCGCACGCGCCGTGCGACTTTGCTTATTCGACAAAGGATAAACAAAACGACAAGATTCGACATTTCACGCGCCAGTGCTTCTAATAATTCTCTTCAAATGACAATTTTCACAATTGCCGATCGCTGTTGGTGCTACCAGTTTTGACCAAGGTACACTTTTCTACTTGAAATCTTATTATTTTTTTTATATATGTTTTTTATGCATATCTTATTATTTGACATTGCTATATTTTTTGTTTAAAATTAAATTTTTTTCTGAAACGTACACAACAATCACTCTTATCTCCGTAATTTTTGGGTACATTTCTTAGATTGCGATCAGTATCATTGTTATAAACAAGTATTAATTTTAACGATGAATATTTTACACGGATTTCGAAGTGTAAATGAAATTTCTAATGCCGGTTCTCGTCGGCGCCGTCCGGATCTATTTGATCTTTATAAATCGTACACTATAAGTTGATCATCCAGCACATACTGGCGCTCATGTATTTTATTTATCGTATAAGTTTGTCGGCTGCTAGCGAAACTGCATTTGACTTTCTTTATACATTTTATTATCCGGTTTAACTAGCTATATTTAGCTTTGACGATTTCGTTTAATTACTGGTTGTATATTCACATATAATATTATTTATTTTCACATGACTAACTGTAGGCTGTAAATTAGCTGTGAACAAAAAAAAAAGGATTCCGAATTTGAAAGATATGTAGTATTCAGCAAACTAAAGATTCAAGCGTCTGCCGTGCGTGCGTTTTCATTTTTTAATGTACCTCATGATATTTATATTTATTATAAATGATCATGCACCTACAACTGCGCTCGGACTTTAATTAGTCCTGCTCTTGTTATTACGACCACTTTAGGTAGACTCTTTTTCAATTATTCAATTTGTATTATATATTGATTGCTTCTTTACATGGATTGCTTCTGTTGCAGTTTCTAGTTCCCTTTCTGGATTTATGTCCTTCCCACCTGCAATGATGTCGTACGATTATCCTCATCCGGTCTCGAGAACGTATCAATACAAGAAGGTATCGTGATCCATACAGCTAAGCGTAAACGATAAGCACCACATTTTCTTTTTTGTATAACTACATGCGAATTAGAAATGTATATTGGCGGGCAATTAAATGCAGCTTGAAATATTTAATATTTAATTACGTACGCGAGAGAGATTGTGTAACGAATTTGCGCAGCAGCTTGTTTTTCAATCGAAACCGAAGTTAGAACATAAGTCGCATTCGTCAATTGCCGGCGGCACGTAGAGATCTATTTTTAGGATTAGAGGCATACGATTGCTTATCGATGCGATTAATTAGTTTTGTGTTGTGCGGTGTAACATTGATACAACATTAATAAATGTATTAATAGCAGTTAGTCTCACGTGATACAACATCAATGGTACGAGCGAAGCTCGAAAAACGTGAATTTGCCTAAAGAATATATTGATATATAACAATTCCACTTGCATACGATGATTTTAATTTTCGCGACACTCACCGTTCCATAAATCAGTAGCCAAGTACTTGGTACAAAGTATTCGATCAGGCGCACATTTGCTCGTCGCGGCAACAGCAACTGATTTTTTTTTTCCCCTCGACGACCCGGCAGCACCTGGAGTTGCACGGCATAAATTCATATTTCTTCTCGCGGCCGAGGAAATCGTAATCGATGAGGAACGGTGCGTGGAACGAATTACCGGTCGCTAATTGAAGCTAAATCATCGCTGTCTCGACGCCGCGATGAAACAACAAGACCTTGATTCTCGCGCGCGCGACTCGACACCGTCCAAGTTACAAATCGACGATTTCTTGAATTAATGCCGGAGATAAATGCGACGGCGCGGCATGTAGCTCGATTATTACTTACGCTCTGACGCGATTCCCACCTTCGCATCCCGTCACGTCGTAAATTAGCACTTTACATTGTGATGGACGATCAAGCAGCGCGCGACGCAAGATCGAGATGCAAAAGATTTCGCCGAGACCGGTCGATGCGCGAATGCTCGAAGCCAGCTGCCGCGAAGATATTGATTAATAAAATATAACGTATATTCAAACACAGATAACAAAGCCGCTTTTGGAAAGGAAGAGGCGAGCGCGGATAAACCGTTGTCTCGACGAACTCAAGGATCTCATGGTGGACGCACTAGAGGTAGGTGCGCTGACGCTTTTTATTATCAGTATATAAAATATCTAATATTATAGATTGAAACAGCACAGCTGCGTATCAAAGTGATAGCAGCAAAATACGATTGCATAATAAAAATTTTTATTATATCCTAAAATTAAAAAGAGAGAAGAAGTCTACGTACAAAAATACTAGGCACACTTACTAAGCGTAGTAATTTCCTTCTTTTTTTTTAAATACATCCTCGGATCAATATTGTTACTTTGAACAGGTGTTTCGCAAAAGCGTTACGAGTTACGCGTAAGATGTAGTGGGATGTAATATAAAGGTACGCGATTTCGCGCGTTTGCAGCTTTTTTGCGAGCGCCAATTAACTTTCACTCCGCGCGATCCTTTTTTTTTTCTTTCTTTCTTTCGCACGCTCGAGATAAATTGTTTAACGGCGAGAAAAGGTGGCGACATTCCCGAACGCGGCAATCTTGGGAGTTGGGAGCCGATATCATAGCCTGGTTCAGCGAGCACGTGCTATGCTCTTTTTTTTTCCTTCCCCCTGGCGCGTTGGGCGAGCCTTCGGAGGAAACGCGTGTTTCTTGCTCGACTCCCACCGACTCTATTTATGATACCACCGGGTGCCTCTCCCCTCGCACGTCACCGCCCCTGCCGCAATTTTACGGATCGCGACTAGCAGGAAACGCATTCTCCGGCCGCAACTACGCGTGCAGGCGATTTTGCTTTTAAATATTCTCAGAGCGTGGGAACCTGCACCCGGCGAACGAGTGTCAACAAAATAATATTCAGCGCGTAGTCAAGCGTGCCGCGTTTACACGCGCTTTAAGCGTACGTGATATTTAAATATCCTCAATTATCGCTGTCTAATCTCTAATGATAATTGCGTCCCTGCGCGCGGCGTTGCGCTCCGCCGCGGTATATTTACATTGCGCATTTAGCGCTGAGCGCAATCGCGCAATTCTCAGTCCGCGATAAAGCGATCCGGAGATCCGGATAAACTAAAAAATTAGACGCACTTATTTAGGATTTATTGTACTAGATAAAGCAGACTCTACTTTTCAATTCTCTCTAGACTAGTCTACACAATCCTTGTCCGAATATAGAATTCTGTGCTGTGCCAAGAAAATTGAATCAGTTAGAAAGGGTACGTGTGACAAAGTTGTATATGTACTTGAGAAAAACAAGAAACTATTTTATAAGCAATATGAATTTTTTAGTAAGTTTTATGCTACTTTGCTCTGAAGAAGGCACTTTGTTTTTATTTAAAAATTTTTTTTAATATTTTGTCTATTCATGTTGAGCAAGGATCCATTGTTAACTTTCAGTCAAAATGATTTTACTTCAATTACAAAAAGACTGACGTGATCTCTATTATTGTGATTTATAGCGCGCATTATCTTCCTCGACAAACGCGAAATGCTGTATTATTAAAATTTAGCTTTAAATAAAATTACCCTTACCGTTAAATATATCCCGTGAAGAACACTGTCACAATTCAAAAATACACAATTTTCAGGAGAGAGGAAAAACAAATTCAATTCAATTTTTTTAAATTGTGAGATAACTAACGCAATTACAATATCTTGTTATGAAACTTATATTGTTTTTTTAATAGGTCTGCTGATGATTCACTTGCCAATTAAATTACTATTCATCCAGGAAACTGCAACATAACCGGTTAAAAAAAAGTAACGATATTTCCATCCCATGCAGCGGATTTTGCATATAGACTATTTTGCATATAGATACTATTTTAATACGTAGATAACATTTTAGGCATACTTTTTTATGGCATACTCAAAATCGAAATTTTTTTAATTGTGACAGTATTCTTCCCGGAGTGCGATATGCGAGAATGAAAAGATTGGTTTCTAAGATTTTTTTCCACGAAAACAGCGTGCAAACCGATGGCGCATTAAAGAAGCGCTATTACACGTTTCCTGTGTTTTAAGTTTAAGTGGTAGGCACAATGCGCTTCGCCACCGATGGTAATTTGTCGATACCGTCTTTCCGCGCGGAACATTCGCCCGCGTGCAATTTACGCTCGCGTATAATTCGCTGAATCAGCGTGAAAGGCACCGCCGATTTCACCATGCTAATTTTCCAACGGCACATTACCCGGCCCGATCGGCACGTTTCGTACGGCTTAATGCCCGCCGACCGGATGCTATTCTTCTTCTCGCAAAACGTCGCGAGAACTGGCGAGCGTATAAAAGGCTTCCACGCTCAGGCGCCGTGGCTACGATCCTTTAGAGTCGCTCGTCTCTCCGTTTCTTTTTGTAATGAGCAATCGAGTGACGTAAAGTAAACCGCCCTGCGAGCGTTACGAGCCGGTAACGATACCATCTTAATAGCAATCTCTCTCTCCTCTAGTGCGAAAAAACTCGAGATGTTCCTTTTTGCGGAATCGTTCGTTTTCTCGCGGTACTTAGTACAGATGGTCGATGAAAGACTGGTCCGGAAAGAAACGGAAGGGTTAACTTGGTAGAAGCGCGAAATTGTACGGGCATTGCAGCCGATATAATGATCGGCTTACACACTCGGTTGTAATTTAAAATATGATTGGAAGAATAAATTGGATTGACAGAATCGATTATAAAATTACCAGAATTAATATTCGTTATATTTTCCGCGCGATAGCGGAGACAGCTGCTTCCTTACCGATATTGCGTGCTTGATTCCTTTTTTTTAAATTTGTATTTTACAGGAAAAATAGAGTACCTACATATACATATGTATATATAAAAATATTTGTAAGGATTTATTTTTATAAACCAAGTCCCTTCCTGGCAATTGTATATAAGCTGACGTAATAAATTCTATTCCGTATAGGACCTACAGAAAAATGTGTGTAATAAGAATTGATGAGTCTAGTAACTCTAGTAAGAGTAGTAAGACTGGAATGATTTGCAGACCGAGGGCGAGAACATCAGCAAGCTGGAGAAGGCGGATATCCTCGAACTGACGGTGCGTCACCTGCAGAAGCTGCAGGCCTCGCGGCCCTCCGGATTATCGGCGACGATCGCCGCGAGCGGCGACGAAATTTCCGCGGAGAGCCGCTGGCAGTCCGGCTTCGGGCATTGCGCGGCGGAAGCCTGCAGATTTCTCTCGTCGCTTCCAGGTGAAGCCGCGGAGAGGCTGGCGAGACACCTCGCAACTGGTCTCCAAACGGGCGGGCAGACAAGTTCACCGGTAATTATCGTGTTCGATCTGTGGGTAATTAATGACCGGCCTGACACGGGGGGGGGGGAAGCGACGAGGATATACAAGGCGAGAGTTTTGCGATCATGTGCACATTTCTCGCCGACCGCGTCTCATAAATTCACATCGTGGTTGACAGCGCGTCGCTACTATGCAGCCAAAAAAAGACGAATTTTAATTGAGAGCATTTCACTTTTCGGGATGAAGTATTACCCGTCGCGTCATTTACGATGCGGCTCGCCAACTAATTATGTACGACGAGTCGCCGTGTGATGTACATCGAATTCATTCACAATAGATTTACGCGAGAGAGTCGCAGCCTGCAATTCATTACAATTATATTTCACACGTGTATTTTGTTTCAACGCTGGTAACTGATGATTAAAGTGTGAAAATTATAGAAACAGTAATATTATAATTAGTCAGTCGTTTAATTATTTTTGTTCATAAAAGCCGTGAAAATTTTCGGTGTTCTTCATATCTTGTTTACGAATCGTTACAAAAATGTTTTTTATCGTTATTCTCTTGTTATTTTCACGGTTTATGATTATCTTTTTTAATTGCATAATAATTCTGTAATCCCCTGCGATGCTGCTGAAAGGAAGTTGGCGTAAGTAACTTACGATATATTGTAAGAAATATTAATCCCGGCTTATGGAAAACGGGCAAATTCAGTCACGTCACGTCTCACGAAGCTATGCCCAAAAATGGCGAAAAAGTCACCGCGCGCGATCAGGCCGCGGGAATAGCGCGGGTCGCATAAGATTTATGATCGCGAAGTGCTAACGACCGCCGTAATGACGACAAAAAACGTGTTCTCCTCAGCCGAAAGCCAACCTGTTATCGCCTACCCTGGCCAATCTGGATCGGATCGCCAGCGTCGTGGCACCTTGTCCCGTCGGCACCTCTGGCGAAATTGACTCGGCGATACTCTCCACGAGCACGTCGCCGATAAGATCCACGCTTCACGCCGACAAAACTGTCGGCGGAGTCGCGTCGACGACGACGACGATTTCCTCCACGCCTCGATGCCGAGCCTCGATGTCGCTCGTTAATGGGAACGAGAAATTAACAGCAAATTGCAGTGCCAAACCGAAGAGTCTGAAGGATCGGCGATCGTCAACGACGCCAACGACTACGATAACGACGACGAGGAATAAAACGAGTGATCCGCATGACATTAACGCCGATGACGATGAAGAAATCGACGTCGAGCGCGTGGATGAACGCGACCCGATGTGGAGACCATGGTAGCGCGTGAAGATATTTTGTAATAAAAGATCGGTGATATGCATTCCTTATACAGACTGTAATCTGGGAACTTGTTGTTTATTTTATCTACGTGTGCTTTGATATATCGGAGAAAAACAACTTTCTTCTTAATAAAAATGTGAAAAAGGCACCGAGAGAATATTGTACATTCTGGGCTTACTGACTAAAAGTAAAGAACGTGGGATGCAAAATTTATTTTTCGATTACTTACAAGTTTATATCGTTTGAAAGACTTAATTAGAAACTGATGATAAATCTCTGGATATATTGTGTACAGTATTGTATTAAGGGTAAAATATATTTTTTAACAGACTGTAGTTGAGTTATCGCGAGAAATGAAGAAAATGGAGAGAAGTTATCAAAAACACGCATACACACGACAGAGAACAGTTTTTATTCGAGATTAAGTTTAAAAGATTTTTTTAACGATAAATCTTCTAACTGTTAATTTTTTATTTTTAAGTATTATTTTTAATAATTTGAGAGGGTAAAACATGAGATATATAATGTATATATAATTTTATGTAGTTTGCAAAGTCTGTTCAATATCTTCGTTATGTTAAATGCTGGTTGCAATACACTGTATACCATACCTAAACCAACAGAGATTGATAAAGGAATCATCAATATCCTAAAGTTACGTAATATTACGCTAATTCTGTGTTACTTTGGTACTTGGCTTTAAATCGGTAGATAATATAGCTTATCTTTAAATAATTCAGATTATTACTTACGATTAGACTTGTGATATGTTAAAGAGCGATTTTTTTAAATTACTTTAAGTATCTTAAGAGACAGACTATTATCATTTATCATCAAACTAATATCATCATTTTCACATGTTTTATTACTACAACGAATGAAACATATAGATGCACCTTACTTCGATTATAATCAATTACTACATAATTTATTATGCCACGAGTTTTTTCATTTAAAATATATAAATAAAATATATCTTTATTACATTAATGTTAGGGAAGCGTTACAAAATTAATATTATAACATAGTTTATTCACATAGGATTATTTTAAAGAAACATATTGCCGTACATTTATTTATGTTGATCTACACGTTGGTGTTAACAAATATACTTCGTGCGTGATTAATCTGTGATAGCGATAAGAAATCCAATATTTGGTATTATTATATATAACTTGAAAGATTTTTAATAAAACCTTTAAGCCTAGTTTCGTGAATACCCGATTTATTTAAGAATTCTAGTATTTTAAGTATTTTCAAATAATTTTAATATAAAAGATCAATATATATTTTTTAATCTTTAAAATCCGTATCTACACAAAAGATATTTTCTATAAAGAGATATTTAGGTAGATTATAATTTATTTATTTAAAAAAGAAGCAATATATTTGTAATTAATAAAAATATAATAATCTTTAATTTGTAGTAATATTAAATATCAAACTAACGAAACATTAAGATAATATTAAAGCATCAGTTCAGGTTTATTGTATCAATTTTTTAAATTTAAATCTTTCTTAGTATTGCAAATTACTTACTTTTCGGAGAAATTAATGTTTTAGTCTGAATCATTATAGCTTCACACATTTTTTATTATCAGTTAGAGATAGGCAGTTGGATTTTTTCAATATAGAAGATATTTATGTCGCCATCTATGACAATATCTGAAAAGTTGCTTTGAGAAGAAATGAAAATCTTTGTAAGCATTTATATTTTAATATTTTCTGCATTTTGCAAGTGCAAATTATTTTTATGTAATATCGTTTTACTAAAAATTTTATTTGTATTAATTATATAGTAACAATTTCTTCACTGCTCAGAAGATAATGAAGGTAACACTTGTGAGTTTCTTCTGCACAACGAATGATAGAAAGGATTACTGCCTGCCATTATCTTAATACTTTTTCATCGTCAGTCGATATTATGCTTTTATGATTTATTGCAGTTTTGTAAACTACGCATTACAAAATTAACTTTTTTATATTAAAAAAAAATAACGTTTTAAAATAATAAAATTTTTTTTATATTTGAGTTTTTTAATATGTTTGGTTTTATACCAACAACTGTTACTACATCGACTGTTAGTTACACATAGTATCCAAAATATATTGTCTCTATTGCTTACAGTAGCTTCTAAAATATTTTATAAACTTTAGGATTTATACGTAACGCAAACACGTAGCTTTAGGAATTTGACATAATTTCTTATATAAAACAAATATATTGTTACGATTATAACAGTGGCAATATATCTCAATTATATAACTCATTATACCTTTATAATATAAAAATCCAAACTTAAAAAATTATCAGAAACAGATATCGCATCTTTTTTATCTACCAATTTTACAAAATTTAAATTCTTATGAACACTATTGTCGCATACATCGTTCAAAGAGCAAAGAGTGTTGAATGACTATTTGACTTTGTACGCACATTTTTTGCCGACTTTTTTTAGGACAAAACCACAAGTTAACCGCAAGCAGGTAGAAGAGATCGGGGTAGGTCCTACAGATAAAGAATTTGATGACTGTCGTCTTTCCTTTTTAGTAAGGACACATAGTTTGCCAACAAACGCTTTTCATTGACCATTGTGGTCACTAAATCAAAATGGCGACGCTTTTGTCAGTGACCAAACGGCTCTCACGTAAAAAATGGCGACGCGATTATAAAGCTTTGCCACTGTGCCGACGCTATTGTGATCAACCGCAATTTAAGTAGCTTTCTGCCAACTAGGTAATATAAATGACATTAAAAGGAAAAAATAGAAGACTTTTCCGTCTCTCAATGAATGATTTTCTTTCACTTAATTTTTTTCATTCTCTTTTTGAATTAGTTTCTTTGGTACTCTTTGATTTTCTTTCTACGGAATTTCTTTTTTGTTGTATATAATGTTGTATATAAAGACGCAAATTAATTTTATTTATTTAATAATTGTTATTTTTTCATTATATAAAATTTTATTTTATTTTATTTTATAAAATACATTTCTCTCTCAAAAGTTTTTTAAGTGTTTTGCGGTTGACAGTTCTAATTCGTGTGGCCAGATATCTTTTCATGTAACATATGCCACGATAGTGTTATCGCGGTCACAGCCAAATTACCTGGCAAAAATTGTAGATATATGGATCTATCTAAATATTAGACACTTTGACCTAAAATTTGCCCGACTGCATTCATCTTTTTGCGAGACATTATAGGTTCCAATATCACTCCAGAATCAACTCTAAATCACGTAATTTATTTATTATAAAGTTTACTAGGTGCTGCACCTCTCTAGGGCTAATTACCCGCACATTAAAACTTAAAGTGATTAAAAGCTGCTATTAATATGTTAAGAAGTGATTTAAATTTAAAGTTTAAGAGCAACGATTTATTTAATCTTACTTCTAAACGAGATAAAATTAGCACATACAATTGAACAATAAATTCTGAATGCCCGTAATGATTTGTTTTCGCGACACAAAAAAAATAAGAGAATCGTGAAGAAATTGCAAGACCCAACTTTATCCTTGAGAAATCATTACGCTTGATCTTGTTTATTAAAGAATTCTCTTTTTAAATTGGAAAGCTCGGAAGAAATCTAACGATCCTGCTATGATGGTTCTTCGCGCAGTTAGTCGCGCTAATATCTCAATCGTTCGAATCGGTTTTCGTCGGGGCGAAGATATTATCGTTGGTGGCCGATAATACTCTCGCGCGGAGCGGTAATTTTTGCCCGCTGCTCAGAGCTGGCGCACGCACGGTACGCCGCGAAGTCGTCAGGAAAGCGCTGCTGCGGCCATTACAACTCTTACCGTGGCGGTTCGCGCGGCGCGTCAAAGAGCGCTCATTAAATGCTGGCAATTAACTGCGGGCCACGTCCCGGGGCCCCGAGTTCTCTCGCTTTCCCGCTCCCCTAGCACCCTCCACCGCGTGCCCTTCTCGGTCCGGTCGGCGTTCTCGGTCCCTGTCGGGTCTCGTGTGCTGACGGCGGTGGTGGGTGATGGTGGTGGTCGAGGCTCAGGTGTAAATGCGAGCTCCGGAGTCCGGACCCACGCGCTTTAATGGGCCTTGCCAACAAGAACGATCGGCATGCGACCCATCTATCACCCCGCGAGCTGTTGTTTAATGGTTTGCATCCCGCTTCGGTCCCAATCGCCGCCGCCTTGCATAGAGCCGGTGGTGACGTATATAGCTTCGCGCGAATATAGATATACGCCTTTTCGCCTCGTGGGCATGTACGTGGAACTGCGGATTATTAAGTTCCTACCGAGACATCATCCGCGTTCTGTCGGAGACCGACCGTATCGTTGGAAATAAGATTTCACTTAGCCACGCGAGCACCCGCCATCTGTTCCGATTTTTTCAATGAACCCTTCGAAACCTCACAACAGCAGAAAATAAATTATTCCAAGAGACAATTTGTAACGCGAATCATAGTTTCCTAATTTTATTTCAATTTTTTAAGTATAAAGTCCGATCGACGTTCTCAGTCCCTGTCGAGTCTCTTCCTAATTTTCAGAATCACATCACAGAAGAAAAAGACCTGTCAAATCAAAACTTGTATACTTATAAATTAACTATTCATCGTTTCGTATCTATATATGCAACAATCTATAATTTTATAAGAATTTCAACTTTTCTTCTTGGTTGAACTATATAAAAAGACTTCAATCAAGCTTTCTTTAATATAATTTTATTTCAAAATTTTCACGTTGGAACTAAAGATATTTTGAAATCAAGAGTAGTCTTTTTTTCTGTGTATGTATGCAGTAAATTTCCAACTTGAATGTATTAATTTTTTATTGGTGCTTGCAAACTTCAAAATGAAAACGGCTTTCTTATTTTACAATTACGTCGCAAATATCATTTGCCAATCATTGACACGCGATTGCGTTTGATCGGTAAGATCAACGGTGGAAGTATCACCTTGGTCCCACGCCCTATAGGTCTTGCAACAATGTTCGCCAGGCGACCTACCTATCGCCGGATGATCTATGACTTAAAGATCGATGTATTACGGTCTTTACATCGCACGGGGGAAAAAGTGCACGTTGCTTGAAACCGGTAACGCGCATACGCCTTGGCGCTATTACCCACGTGTGCATCAGCGAATTTATCAACTTCTCATCAACGGCCATTACCTTCAAACGTTGTTCTAGATGATGCTCTAAATATCTGCTCGTACACAGATATCATAGAAAATGATTTACGAGTGGTAATCCGTTGGGAAAGTTCCCTCATAATTAACAGCGGAATCTTACGTTAATAATACGTGACACTCTTGCTGTGCGGCTCTTGCGTAAGGTTAATTACTCGGTAATTAGAAAGCTTCGGAGTTATCTTCCGCCGCGGCAGAAAATAAAACTGAATCTTTAATTGCCGAATATCTGTGTTAATTTACCGTTACGCTAATTTTAGTGATTTATTTTACTATCGTCAAGTACGTATTATGCATCCTTTTTTTCAGTCGCTCGTTCCGAGCGTAACTCATATTCGTGATTTGTGATGCATTCAAAATTTAGACGTTTAGAAATTATACGCTTCTTGGTAGGCGTTATCAATTTTTCGCATGCATTAGAAAATTTTATATGAAACATAGATAGATCATTGTAATTACACAGAAAAAAAGAAGCGTAAATCAATACTGATATACTTGTTTATACGCAAGAATATATAATCTTGAAATAAGATCATAGGTGCTTTCCGTTTTACGCATGATGCACATAATGCATCATTCATTCTTGTTTAACATTCGGTAAACAACAAGGATAAATTTTGCATTATGCGCATCATGCGTGAAACAGAATGCACCCTATATTGCGTTAAGAAAACTTGTCTAACTGAACTCAGTTTACGTAGTTAAACGAAGTTTTATATAATTCAACTAAGAAAAAAAATTAAAATAAAAAGTTGAAATTCTTATAAGAAGATTGTTATATATTTTTGCGTGTATAC